CCCAACCCCCTGATTGGCCCTGCTCTGTATGTGACGGGGTAGAGCCGCAACCTCCCCATCGGCCCTGCCCTGAGTGAGACAGCAGCGGTGCCCCAACCCCCTGATCAGCCCTGCTCTGTGTGTGACAGGGGTTGGTGCCCCAACTCCCCTATCGGCCCTACTCTGTGCATGACAGGGGGGAGCTCCCCAACCCCCTGATCTGCCCTGCTCTGTGTGTGACAGTGTACGAAGCCCCAACCCCCCTAATGGGCCCTGCTCTGTGCGTGACAGGGGGTGGCGCCGCAACCTCCCCATCGACCCTGCCTTGAGTGTGATAGGGGGCGGTGCCCCAAACCCCCCAATCGGCCCTGCTCTGAGCCTGACCAGGGGCTGCACCTAGGGATTGGGCCTGCCCTCTGCCACCCGGGAGCAGACATAAGCCAGCAGGTCGTTATCTCCCGAGGGGTCCCAGACTGTGAGAGGGCACAAGTGGGGCTGAGGGACACTCCCCCACCCCCCCGCCAGTGCACAAATTTTTGTGCACCGGGCCTCTAGTATATATATAAAAGCCTAAGCAACTGTTATGACTGAACAACCGGAATGACCAGTTGCTATGATGCGCACTGACCACCAGGGGGAAGGCACTCAATGCAGGAGCTGCCCCCTGGTGGTCAGTGCACTCCCACAGCCAACCTCCCCTGGCCGGCCAATCTCCCACAGTCCCTCCCCCTGGCCGGCAGGCCCCGATCAATCACTTGATCAGGGCTGGGCCCCGGGCTGGGATGGGGAACTGGGGGTTGGTGATGGTGAATGCGGCCCCTTTCCCAGAGGTGCCAAGAGCCAACTTCCTCCTCTGGGCCAGCAGCCAACGCCCCACAGTCCCTCCCCCCGGCTGGCAGGCCCCAATCGGCCTGGCCCCAATCAGCCTGGCCCTGATTGGCCCTGATCACTGGTCAGGCCTAGGGACCCCACCCATGCAGGAATTTCATGCACCAGGCCTCTAGTTGAAAAATAAAATAAAATAACTAAAAAACCAAGGGTTTCCCTTTATCCCCTAGTGATTTTTTTTAAGGCTTTGAGCAATAGATAAAATGTATTTGCTCATTTTCATAAATAAAAGATTGGGAAGATACCCACCAGCTATTGACAGTACTGATTTCTGAGAAGGGGATCTGTAGCTGGGTGGGATGCCAGAGGACTTTCCTTTTATCTGTATATTTCAGGTTTGTTTTTTTAAAAACCTCACCAGAGGTTATTTTTCCATTGATTTTTAGAGAGAGTGGAAGAGTGAGGGAAAGACAGAGAAATATCAATGTGAAAGAAACACATTGATTGGTAGCCTCCTGCATGAGCCCTGACCAAGGCCTGGGACAGGGAGGAGACTGCAACCAAGATACATGCCCTTGACCAGAATCAAACCCAGGACCCTTTGATCCGCAGGCCAACACTCTATCCACTGAGCCAAACCAGCTAGGACTATTTCAGGTTTGTTTTTAAAAACTTATTTACATATTACTTGTATTACCTATACTTTCGCTATATCTATAATAATATAATGATAATATATTAATTAGACTGGACGCCTTCCAGAGGTCATTCCGGACATCCTTCCTGACAAAGCCAGGACCAGAGGGAAGCAGCCTGGGTCCTGGGTGCCTGTGGGCGGCCGGAGGAGGGAAGCCCGGGTCCCAGATGCCAGAGGGAAGCCAGTGCCGGCAGCCGGGGAAAGGAAGGCCTACGCTTACACAAAGGAAGGCCTACTCTTGCATCAGGCCTCTAGTAAAATACATAAAATAAAATATGAAGTAAGTAGAGTTGGATATTTCTGTTTAGACCTGAAAGTCTCCATGTATGTGTACGTGCATTGCGTGTGTGTGTGCGTGTGTGTGTGTGTGTGTGTGTGTGTGTGTGTGTGGTGGGTGAGGGGTATTCAGGAAAGGGTAAAGGTAAGATCACACTTGAACTACCTTAACATAGAGACTTAAACATGTCAAAACATTGGCACTTGGTCGTGCAGTTGAGAATCAGGACCACTCACCTGGGAAAGCCCATCCTCTGAGGTCTGCTTCCCCCACTGCAAATAGCCGATGCTACTGCGTGCTGGGACTCCATGTAGTATTTCTTGAGACTTCCCATTTTGACAGCCATTAAAGACATGTGGACTTGCTCTTCCAGTTAAAACCATGTTCAAAACTGCCTAGTGACACAGTTTATAAATACTACATTTTAGGTGGCAACGACACAAGGACTTAATTTCTTTTTTATTTTAATAATCATTTTAAAATTAGCATTTTTATTGAAAAGAATGAAATCACACACGTAATTCTGGAAAAATGTATGGCATTAACATTTTAGGGTTAAAACAACTGTTTTTCTGGAGCCGTAGTCCATAACTTCCCATGTGCCCCACTCAGAACCTGTTGCTCACCCTCCCTTTACATTCCTTGTAAACTTTGGTTTCCATGGTTAGGATTTAAGGAGCAGGAGACTAATATGTTATTATAGAACTTTTCTTTCAGTTATTAGGGATTCCTGGTGGGTCTTAACAAAATATTTTTGGGAGGTGAAGGAGGGTATTGGGGGATAAATGGTGATGGAAGGAGACTTGACTTGGGGTGGTGAACACACAGTACAGTGTACAGATGATGTGTTGTAGAATTGTGCACCTGAAACCTGTATAATTCTGTTAACCAGTGTCACCCCAATAAATTCAATTAAAAGGAAAAAAGATATTTTCTAATGTTTCTAGACTCTCAGGGATAGAGGCCTCTCAGAGGTAAACTAGAAAGGACTGTAATGGGAACTGGAAGGTCAGATCTGATAACAAACTCAGGGCAGCATCTTAGTCTTTCAAGGATAAATTGACCTTTCTTCATGTAAGAGAATATGCTCAATTTTTAAAAAGCCTGATTCACGTTCCACAACAGAAGCCAAAGTCTTCCCCCTACCTGCCTGCATAGGAAGCCTCCAGCATTTGGTTGTAGCAGATGAATGGTGGAGACATCTAGGTCCTTCTGAAGCCTGCAGAATGGGAGATGCCATCAGCATTTGGTCAGAGAGGATGACTGCACCAAGGACCTGCAGCCTCTCCTCCCTCCAGCACAACACAAAGCGGCAGTCACATGGGCTCACCTGGTCACTGTCCCTCCCGTGTGCCCTCCCTGTCTCCTTCTCTCGCAGGAAAGCTTCTAGGACTGGGGTTGCACAGGGAAAGCTGTGGGTGCAGGTGGGAGAAGCCACAGACCCCACGCGTTGGAATCCCTGTGTATGCTCCGATGCTGGGCTCAGTAGAGACACTGCTCTGGGACAAGGGATGCTTAGCTTAGGGTGGTGATAGGTGACCACTCCAGAGAGAACTGGCCCAAGGCAGAATTGAACAGACTGTTTAAGTGGAAAACACCAGTTGAGCTCATTTCTTGGCTATGGAAGGGCAGCCTCTACTATTTCATCAGAGACCAGGAGTTGGGTTTCTACCCTGGACAATGTTAAAGTCAAGGTGCAACATGGCTCCTATTGTCACCGAGCGGAAGGTGCTGGTACGAGAGCTGTATATGTTCTTGACAGAACCTATTCCCAGGACTAGAAGTCACTCCCTTTTGAGAATACGACCCAGAGACTGGTCAAGCATGGCAAATGCCTTGAGGGCATCAGGTATAATTCAGGGCAGTGCTTTCCAAAGTATGGCATGATTTTGGATGGCACAGAGATGAGCATTTAAAAATGTTTTATAGTGATGTTTTTAATACATATTTGTCTTCAGCACACCAAATACATGATTTAAAGGATATTAATGTTAGGAAAGAAGTTAATATTTAAATGTGTGTTGATTTAAAGCAAGCTTAAGCAAATAATAATATAGACCACAAAAATGTGATGGTGATATACAAAAGACAGGTTTCAGGAATACTGCCTCAGGGCTTGTAATTCTTCCCTTCTGGGGGCTCTCTAGCTCTCTCCAAGCTTACCCCTCTTTCAGTCTACTTCTAAGAAGCCTTCCTTGACTCTCATAACTGCTGGGCACCCTTCCTCCTCTGGAACCCACTGGATTAATTGTCTTCACACCTCATTTGGCCCATCAAGTACCAGCTGGGACTTGCCCAGGCTCTATGTCAGTGGTTCTCAACCTTCCTAATGCCGCGACCCTTTAATACAGTTCCTCATGTTGTGGTGACCCCCAATTTCATTGTTACAAATTGAACATAATTAAAGCATAGTGATTAATCACAAAACAATATGTAATTATATATGTGTTTTCCGATGGTCTTAGGCGACCCCTGTGAAAGGGTCGTTCGACCCCCAAAGAGGTCGCGACCCACAGGTTGAGAACCGCTGCTCTATGTGGCCCGTCTTTCCCAGACTGGAACCTGCAGGAGGCCAGGGTTCTATCTTCTTTTATTTGTATTTTCCACAGTGTGAAGAACAGGCCTTTGCATATAACAGAGGCAAAATAAATACTTGAGAATCTATTTTACTGTGCATATAAGTAATAAAACATTTTATATGAAAATTGTACAAATAAGCTTTGTTGTCTGCCACTATTTATAACCACAGAAAGTATCCTAGCACTGTACCACAAAAGCAGATTCAAAGTTTCCTGATGACAGTCATTTACCCATTACTATGGCCAAACTGATGATAGAAAAGGACGTATCAACAAAAAGAGCATCCACTAGAAAAATATTGCACTCGTTTCCAGTAGGCATGAAAGTATTCTCCAACACCAGAGTACATGGTTTATGTGACCCCAGAGCCAAAGGAAATGCTGGGTAAATATTTGTAGAACATACCTTTCAAATGTTCTGGAGAAGATCAGGCTGTAAAGAAACAGGATGACACCGTGGCTTCCTTCCCCACTGAACTGTTTGGAAAGCAAGGGAAAAGCACGTTTGCCTCCAAGCAATGCAGCTATGAATACCTGTGGGCATGAACTCAAGGATTTACTGCCTGAGAGATTTATTTTCTAGATGCTTAAAGGGCAGCTGGAGCTCTCTCTGCTCCCCTAGATCTATCTCCACTCTCAAATGCATTCTCCTTACTGCTTCCAGCCTGCCAATGATACCATCATTCTCTCGATTTTCAACCTCTCTTTCTTTCCTCTACTTCTGTCTTGCGATTTTCTTCAAACCATGGCTAGGATGTAGCATATCTTTCCTCTCCATTTTTCTGGGTCCATCCTAGCCCAAGTCCCAGGGCTGCTCTTGGCTGGCCTCCCTTCCCAGTCTCTCCTTAGTCAGTGCATCCCACTTGGTTGAACTCAGGGGGAGTGTGGCGGGGGTGGGGGATGAGAGGCTTTATAGAAATACAGACCTGGAGTTATACAGACCTGGATTCAGAACCAGTTCTACTACTCACTAACTCAGAGTTATCTTACTTCTTTGAGCTCAATCTCCTCATCCGCAATTGCATATAAAAATACCTTTCCCCCAGGTTTGTTACAAAAGTGAAATGATGCATGCAAATACCTGCCTTGAGTCTCAGAACGGAACGTGCTAGGTCCCAGTACCTGTTCTTTTCTGAGGTACTTCTCCTCTGTCTCTTCCCTTGGGCAGGTTGCTTTTCTGCTCAGAACCTTCTGAAGGTGCCCTGTGATCTCCAGGATCAAATCCAAATTGCCCAACCAACATTCAGGGCCTCTCCTTCATTGGCCTTATCTTAGTTTTTGGTCCACACTCTACCTGCTGCAAAGAAGCTCCTTGTCTGGCTTTCGAGATACCAGGGTAAGGCCCCTCCCTTAGAGGCACTGTATCAGGAAGGCTTCAGCTAAAATGCCCGTGCTTTGCCTTTTATGGATTCATTTGTCCCCTTCACTATCTGACTGGCAGGAGAATAAATTCCAGTGCCCCAGGAACCAGGGCCTGACAAACTCCGGTGCCATAGGAGCTAGACAGGAACCCAAATGGGCGCACTGCAGGCTGTGAGGGAGGGCTGGGCCGAGGCAACCTGGAGAAGGCTTGCATGCTAGTTTCCTGTCACTGCCATAGCAAATTAGCACAAACGTGGGGGCCTAAAACAACATGAATTTATTATTTGAAGTTCTGGAAGTTAGAAACCCAACTTGGTGTCAGTGCACCCGGTTCAAACGGCTGGCCAGCCTGCATCCCACCTGGAGGCTTTCCTGCTGTTTCCAGTGTCTGGAAGCCGTCCTTGTTTCTTGGCCAAGGATCCCACATTACACAGCCCTCCCCCCTCTGCTTTGGCACTGCACCTCTTCCTCTTTCTCTCCCACCACCTCATTTTCCTTATGAAACCCATGACTAATTGAACCCACCAGGATAAGCTAAGATAATCTCCCCATCTCAAAATCTTAAACTTCATCAGAGCCCTTCATACCTGGTAGGTAACATCATTCACTCCACCACAACTTGTCTAATGGGAGTCACGCTCAGCTAACTGAGGACATGCTGAGCTATAGGTCTAGAGCAGCAAATTTCCTGATTTTTTTTTTCGGGGAGGGGGGGTGGGGCGCGGGCGGGGGAAGCTAAAGTCCAGGTTTTTATGTGGGATTTTCTGATTGGCTTTGACTGTTGCTGATTCAAATTAAAAAAAAAAATCTAACACTGTGTGGGTTAATGCTGCAGATATAGGTGTATTGCTTTCCTAGCGCTGCTATAACAAATTATTAAAATCTGAATTACTTACAATAGGACACTATTCTCTCCTGGTTCTGGAAGCCAGAAGTCTTAACTGAATGTGTCCGAGCAAGGCCGCACTCTCTCTCCAGGCCCCGGGGAGGATCCCTCCTTGATCTTCCCAGCTTCTGGTGGCTGCTGGCAATCCCTGGTGTCCCTTGGTCTGGGAGATGCATCACCCCAGCCTCTGTCTCCATCATCACAGGGTGCTCTCCCTGCATGTCTGGGTCTGCGCCCAAATTTCCTTCTTATAAAAACACCAGTCATTGCATTAGGGCCACCCCAATCCAGCATGACCTTATCTCAACTTGATTGCACCTGCAAAGACCCTGTTTCCAAATCAGAGCACATTCATCGGTCCTGGGAGTTAGAACTTGAACATATCATTTTGGGGGGATGCACTTCAACCTATAACAACAGGTCTGCTGCTCACATGTAGCCCTCAGACCCCTCACTTGAGATCTGTGCTTTAAACTAGGACACAGTACTGGTGCATTTTGATAGTGAATGGGGGATGATCACAACAAGCAGCCTCTGGTCAGGAAGCGCCCTTCAGAATATATGCATCAAGTTCCCTCTCGCTCAGGAAATGGGGCCAACCTGTCCTCAGCGCGGCTATGGAAAGGCTCAGCTTGGGTTGGCTTGATGCAGGCAGTTCTGTGCCGAGCCCACCTGTGCTGCGCAGTCGCAGTGGTTCTCAACCTTGGCTGCACATTAGAATCACCTGGGAATCTTTTTAAAATCCTGATTTCTGGGCCTCATCCTCGGAGAGAACCACTGGCTTAGGGCCTTTGTTAGCTTTTCCAACTCACTCCTAGCCTTTGATGGGGAAAGCCTGTGAGGAGCTTCAGCGCTGGCCCTCTGATTCTCAACTCCTGAGAAGACCTTGCAGATGTGGGGGTCCTTCCTAATGAATTAGACTCTCCCAGGTCTGAGTTGAAGAGATGGAAGACAGAGGGGGAAGCATGTGCCTCTTTTAGCTGGAAGGACCATTTATTCCTTACATGGCTCCTCTCTCTGTGTAACCCCATTAAGCATCTCCCGCTTGCAAGATAGTCTCTAAGCAGGCTTCCAGCTTAACATTTCATGTCAGCCATTGAAAATCTATCATCAGGTTTTATTAGTTTCATATTGCTGCTATAACAAATTACTATAAATTTAGAAGCTTGAATAATATAAACTTATTATCTAACAGTTCTGGTGGTCAGAGTCTGAAATGGCTACCTCACAGGGCTAAAATCAAGATGCCAGCAGGGCCACTTTCTTTCTGGGGGCTGCAGGGCAGAATCTGTTTCCTTTCCTTTCCAGCCTTAGTGGCCCTGCCCACATTCCTTGGTTCACGGTCCCACCTTCCATCTTCAAAGCTGCAACAGTGATGACACCTCTCATCCCACATCACTCTTCCCCTCTCTTCTGCCTCCCCCACATTCAAGGACCCTGTGAGTACATCGGGCCCACCTGGGTAATCCAGGATACTCTCCCTATTATAGTCAGCTGGCTAGAGACCTTAATTCCCCTTTGCCATGTGATGTAACAGTCATAGGTTCCTGGGACCAGGGTACGGACATCTTTGGGAGAACATTCTTTTGCCAACACAGACCTATGAGATGGTAGGCACGATGGGCCAGGGGAACCAGGCTAACCAAGGTCTTATACAGTTAGTGTGGCTGAGAACTCAACCCCCAGGTTTCTGCCTCTACGGCCTTTGAAAGGAGTAGAGCAGTGAGTTCCATGGATTACAGTCCCCTTACACAGCCCAAAGTTGTGTGGCTTCACCGTCACCCAGCTCAGGTTCCTGTGCTTTCACACTGTCATCTCAATTCCTCAGAAAATCAGCTTTCCTTTGTTTCTCCACAGAGGAATCTTTTAAAATAAAACCTTCCATTACTTTCCAGGGACTGGGTGAGAACCATTGCGGAGGAGAACACTGTGTGGAAGGTGCTGATAGAAGAGGTGAAACAGGGCCACCTTTTTCAGACCAGAAGTAATTTCCTGAGCATCGATGTGAATGGTCACTTTGGCAATTCGGACTAGAACCTTCGTTGTCTACCATTTTTGTCTTTTATTCACTAGGTGAGGCAAGACTGCTTTAACATTTTCTCTCCACAAAAGAAATCTTGGCACATGCCCTCTATCATATTATTTTCTGGGCTTGATTAGCCAAGGAGTGGCCGGTGTGTGATCTGCCTCTTTCTAGGTTGCGGGGAGGGAGAGGCGGGCTTCCTTTCTCTTGGTCTGCCCTTCCTGAGCCCTCAAGACGACCTGGTTTTCTTAACAAGTATCATTAAAAAGACACTTTGTAAAAGAAAGAAGGTTCCTGTAAGATCAGTTCAACATAAAGTAATTATCTCAGTACTTAAACACTTACACATTGTAAATGATCATAGATGAATTTCTCAGTGGCCTCTTTCTCCAAAACTTCAAACAGCTGAAGCTATAAATCAGGAAAAGAAGATTAAAATGAGAAGGAAGATGAAAGTTACACCTATAAAATGTCAATTCACTGTTATTACCTCAAGGTAGATTTTTGCTTCATTGTAAAATCACATTGCTAAAAACTGACATATTCTCTTATACAAGGCCATATAAAACATGGTAAAATTGGGTGGCTACTAGCCTCATGTTTACATCCCTCAGTTTTAAATCAATATGATATCTTAAGCAGTAAAACCATAAACAGACCCCTTCCCCCCAATAGGTAGCGTTTAGCTATGTTTAAGACAGTGGGCATGGAAATGCACTTTATGATGACTTCAGGTATGGGATATTCTTGATCATGGTGGAGGGAGAAATCCGTAGCAGGATTCTCTGTTTTGGCTGCTTGGATCACCTACAATCCTTGCCCCTCACCTCTTTGAATGGTGCCTTTGGCCACAGCAGACCTCACAGAAGCATCGATGGGGCCCCACCTCCACTTCCATGGTGAACCGGTACCCAGACTGCACTCACCCTCTCAGTGAAATTGTCCCCAGCATAGTCAGGAGTCGAGGTGACTTGAGTGTCCTCAGTGACAAGACAGATGGTGGCCTTCTCAGCTTCTCCTGCCACCCACAGGATACCAGCGAGTGCCGCAGCCAGGGCCTGCTTCTGCTCTTGCTTGCTTATTGCACATAGACTGCAAGGCAGGAGGTGGGGTTAGAATGGACCGTCATCTGGCCATGTGCTGGGGCCTCCACTCTTATGAACTCTGAATACAGGGTTGGTTCCTTCATCAACCTACACTGCGATGTCATGAGGATGTCCTATCTGCTGTCACTGGAACTGGTGTCCTCTCAGCAGCATATTGCTCTTGGTAATATGGGGGGCGGGCAGTTACTACTGCCGCCATTGAGTCCCACCACTGTCCTCTCTCCAGAACTCCAGCAGGGACTGAGCTATGTTCTTTAACCCAATAACACAGGCCCTTTCCTAGCACAGCCCTGAACAATTCTCCCAGTTTTATCTCCCAGATTTCCATTTTGCAAACCCTCTGCCCCAGATGGACCAGTCCCTGAACATATTTCCCACATTTGCTCATGCACTTGTCTGCCTTTAATGTGCATGCCACGTATGTCCTGTCTGCCTGACCACAGCCTGTGCATCACTGGAGGTCTACTCCAGGTTGCCCTTATTAACCCGGAGCTGACACTCACCTGGCACTCACTGTGCCCAGTGTTGTTCTGAGCACTTCACACATATCACCTCATTCAGTCCTCACATCTGTGAGGTAGATACTATTAGTACTCCCATTTTAGAGGTGAGGAAGTTAAGACAGAGAGGTTGAGTAATTTGCCCCTGGTCATTCATCTTTAAAGTGATAGAGCAGTGATTTGAATGTGGGCAGTCTGGCTCCTGACTCCCTAGTCCTAACCATTACACTCCATTGAGTAATAATCTCAGGCTGTCCAACCTCCCAGGAAATAGGAACCCATCTTTAGTGGTATACTTAACTATGCCTGTTTTCTCAGTATTTTACATTGACAACTGTTGTCCCAATGAAGAAACACATGGGGTTTCATTAATGAACTCAGCAATAACTTACAGAATCCATCTAGTTCTGTGGCAATAGAGAAATGAGTCACAAGGAGCCTCATACTCCAACATCCTAGTAGGAGGCAGATGAGAACAAAAGAGAGTGCTGTGAGAGTACAGGAGAGAGAACGCGTGGCTGGGAAGGTGCAGGAGGCTTCGTGGAGCTGATCTATCACAGCAGTTACTCATCACCATGTATTTCATATTTGCCACATACCAGGACTGTGTTAAATGCTTTACATTCATGCAGCAAATATTGTGTGTGCTCCATCTAGATTCCCTGGGATCCCTTTTACTTAGTTGGTGGACATGTCACCCAGCTGCTTCCAGTACTGCTGCTACTGGCTCCTACTTTTCAACTTTCTCTGAAGTACTGGAGGCACCTGGCCCAGAGGTGACGAGGAGTTAGGCCTCTCCTGCAGATGGCCAAGGTCGATGCCTGATGGGGTGGAGGTACCAGAGCCCTGCTCTCTCAGCTGTGGATGGGCAATAAGCTCCTGGGATCAGACTGAGGCTAGACTTCACAAGAACCCCATTCTTTTTTTAAAAAATTTTTATTTTCTTGTTTAAAGTCTTACAAATAGTAATACATATGTCTCTTTTTTTTCCCCCATTGACCTTCCCCCGGCCTCCTCTACCCCCCGGCACATGCCCTTACACCGCCCCCCCCAAGTGTCTTGTGTCCATTGATTATGCTTATATGTATGCATATAAGTCCTTCGATTGATCTCTTACTGCCCTCCCCAACACTCCCCAGCCTTCCCGCTGTAATTTGACAGTCTGTTCCATGCTCCTCTGCCTCTGTATCTATCTTTTTGTTCATCAGTTTATAATGGTCTTTACTATCCATAAATGAGTGAGATCATGTGGTATTTTTCTTTCACTGCCTAGCTTATTTCACTTAGCATAATGCTCTCCAGTTCCATCCATGCTGCTACAAATGGTAAGAATTCCTTCTTTTTTATAGCAGCATAGTATTCCATTGTGTAGATGTACCGTAGTTTTCTAATCCACTCATCTGCTGATGGGCACTTAGGCTGTTTCAAAATCTTAGCTATGGTGAATTGTGCTGCTATGAACATATGTCCCCTTTCCCCCCCACTCACTGCTTCTACCCCCCCTCCCCCCCTCACTCCTGACCTTCACCACACTATTGTCTGTGTCCATGGGTTATGCATCTATGTATACAAGTTCTTTGGTTAATTTCTTCCTATCCACCCACTCATCCCCACCTTCCCTCTGAGACTTGACAGTCTATCCCATGTTTCTATGTCTCTGCTTCAATATTGTCATTCAGTTTATTTTGTTCATTAGATTCCACATATGAGTGAGATCATGTGATACTTGTCTTTCTTTGACTGGCTCATTTCACTTAGCATAATACTCTCCGGGTCCCTCCATGCTGTCTCAAAGGGTAAGAGATCCTTCTTTTTTTTTTTTTTTTTACTGCTGCATAGTATTCCATGCCATGGTGTAAATGTACTACAGCTTTTTTACCCACTCATCTACTGATGCGCACTTGGGCTCTTTCCAGATCTTAGCTATTGTAAATTGCACTGCTATGAACATAGGGGTGCATATGTTCTTTCTGATTGGTGTTTTGGCTTTCTTACGATATATTTCTAAGGGGTCACTGGGTCAAATGGCAGTTCCATATTTAATTTTTTGAGGAAACTCCATATTGTTTTCCATAATGGCTGCACCAGTCTGCATTCCTACCAGCAGTGTACTAGGGTTCCCTCTTCTCCACATCCTCTACAGCACTTCACATTTGTTGATTTGTTGATGGTAGCCATTTTGACAGGTGTGGGTTTATTCCTCATTATTTTTTTAATTTGCCTCTTTCTGATGATTAGTGACTTTGAGCATTTTTTCATATGTCTCTTGGATATCTGTTTGTCACTTTGAATAAGTGTTCATTTAGGTTCTTTGCTCATTTTTTAATTGGATTGTTTGTCTTCCTTTTGTTGAGTTGCATGAATTCCTTATATATTTTGGATATTAACCATTTATCAATATGTTTTCCCATACAATGGACTCCCTTTTCATTTTGTTGATGGTTTCTTTTGCCATGCAGACCTTTTAAAATTTTGATGTAGTCCCATTTGCTTATTTTCTCCTTAGTTTCCTTTGCCCTAGGAGATGTATCCACAAACATATTGCTATGAGAGATGTCTGAGATTTTGCTGCCTATGATTTTTTTCTAGGATTTTATGGTTTCATGACTTACATTTAAATCTTTTATCCATTTGAGTTTATTTTTGTGTATGGGGTAAAAATTAACTAGTTTCATTTTTTTTGCATGTACCTGTCCAATTTTCCCAACACTATTTATTAAAGAGACTGTCTTGGCTCCATTGCATGCTCTTGCCTCCTTTGTCCAATATTAACTGAGTATAATGGATTAGATTGATTTCTGGTGTCTCTGTTCTGTTCCATTGATCTATATGCCTGTTCTTGTGCCAGTACCAGCAGTTTTGATTATGGTGGCTTTGTAGTATAACTTGATATCTGGTATTGTGTTTCCTTCATCTTTGTTTTTCTTTCTCAAGATTGCTGCAGCTATTCAGGTTCCAGGTAAATTTTTGGAGTATTTGTTCTAGATCTGTGAAATATGCTGTTGGTAATTTAATAGGGATTACATTGAATCTATAGATTGCTTTGGGTAGTATGGACATTTTAATAATGTTAATTTTACCAATCCATGAACATAGTATATTCTTCCACTTGTTTATATCTTCCTCTATTTCTTTTTTGAATATCCTGTAGTTTTCTGAATATAAGTCTTTTACCTCCTTGGTTAAGTTTATTTCTAAATATCCTATTTTTTTTGTTGCAGTGGTAAATGGGATTGTTTGTTTAGTTTCTCTTTCTGAAAATTCATTATTGGTGTATAAAAATGCCATTGATTTCTGGGTTTTAATTTTGTATCCTGCTACATTGCTGAATTCATTCATTAAATCTAGTAGTTTTTTGGTGGAGTCTTTAGGGTCTTCTATGTACAATGTCATATCATCTGCAAATAATGAGAGTTTTACTTCCTCACTTCCAAATTGGATGTCTTTTATGTTTTCTTCTTTTTTTATTTTAATTAATATTTTTATTGATTTCAGAGAGGAAGGGAGAGGAATAGAGAGATATAAACATCAATGATGAGAGAGAATCATTGATCAGCTGCCTCCTGCACGCCCCCTACTGGGGATCGAGCCTACAACCCAGGCATGTGCCCTTGGCCGGAACCGAACCTAGGACCATTCAGTCCGTAGGCCAACGCTCTATCCACTGAGCCAAACCAGCTAGGGTAGTTTTCTTCTTGTCTGATCGCTGTAGCTAAGACTTCCAGTTGAATAAGAGTAGTGGAAGTGGACATTCCTGTCTCGTTCCTGTTCCTAGGAGAAATGGTTTTAGTTTTTGCCATTTGAGTATGACGTTGGCTACAGGTTTGTCATATATGGCCTTTATTATATTGAGGTATGATCCCTCTATTCCCACTTTGCTGAGTTTTTATAAAAAATGGGTGCTGGACTTTGTCAAATGCTTTTTCTGCATCTATTGATATGATCATGTGATTTTTTTACCCTTTCAGTTTCTTTATGTGATGTATCACATTTATTGATTTATGAATATTGTACCAGCCTTGCATCCCTGAAATAAATCCCACTAGGTCATGGTGTATAATCTATTTAATATATTGCTGGATCCAATTTTCTAATATTTTGTTGAAGATTTTAGCATCTATGTTCATCAAGGATATTGGCCTATAATTTTCTTTCTTTGTAGTGTCTTTATCTGGTTTTCGAGTTAGGAAATGTTGGCCTCATAAAAAGAGCTCAGAAGTGTTCCTTCCTCTTGAATTTTTTGGAATAGTTTGAGGAGGATAGGTGTTCTTCTTTTAACGTTTGGTAAAACTCTCCTGTGAAGCCGTCCATACCAGGGCTTTTGTTTGCCAGGAGTTTTTTTGTTTGGTTGTTTGTTTTTTACTGTTTTAATTTTATCAGTTGTTATTGGCCTATTTGGGTTTTCTGGTTCTTCCTGATTCAGTTTTGGAAGATTGTATTTTTCTAGGAATTTTTCCATTTCATCCACATTGTCCAGCTTATTGGCATATAGTTGTTCATAGTGTGTGTATATATATATATATATATATATATATATATATATATATATACACACACACTGAGTGGCCAGATTATTATGACCACCTGACGTTTGTAGGCAAATTAGCTATAATTTCACGCTGAAGTTGCTAGAGGGCCAGACCATTATAAACGTCTGAATAGCACAACATACCTAAGTATCGTTGCTGATCAAGTTTATCCTATCATGTTGATGGCATATCCCAATGAAGATGGCTTCTTCCAACAAGACAATGCACCATGCCATGGTGCTCGTATTGTGCAGGAGTGGTTTCAAGAACATGAGGGAGACTTTACCTTGCTTAGGTGGCCCCCACAATCACCAGATCTCAATTCAATTGAGCATTTGAGGGACGAAGTTAAAAGAGCCATCAGGCAGCTGGTTCCACAACCATCAAATCTCACAGAACTGGACAGTGCTATTCATCAGGCATGGTGTCAGATTCCTCGCATCACCTTTCAACATCTCGTGGAGTCAATGCCAAGAAGAAATCGCCGCAGTATTGAAGGCAAAAGGTGGCCCAATGAAGTACTGATGGGGTGATCATAATAATCTGGCCACTCGGTGTATCTATATCTATCTATATCTATATCTATATCTATATCTATATCTATATCTATATCTATATCTATATCTATATCTAGAGAGAGAGAGAGTGCCAGGGTTGTAACATCCACAATGACCAGAGGCTCAACCAAATGCCAGGCTGTGCACGCAGCAGGCAAGCGGGCTGAACTGCTGACCTCTGAGAGAGAGAGAGAGAGAGAGAGAGAGAGAGAGAGAGAGGTGAGGCTAATCAGCAGCAGCAGTGGCTGCTGGCGAGGCTGGGAGAGAGAAGCAGGATGATCAGACCCTGCTTCTCTCTCCCAGCCTTGCCAGCAGCCAAGCCTCTCTCTCTCTCCCAGAGGTCAGCAGTTCAGCCCGCTCACCAGCAGCCTGGGGCAGCTGCTGATCAGCCCCACCTCAATGATCAGGCCTGGAGATAGGCCCAGAGATGCTGATTGGCATAGAAACCAACCAACCAATCAGAACCAAATCTGGGTGAATTGCGAGGAGCCAATGGCTGCCTAGGAGGTGGAGCTTTTGACAGTGACTGGCATAGAAACTGACCAATCAGAACCAAATCTGGGTGAACTGCAAAGGCAGAACCTACAGTGGGGGCTGAGGAGGGGTTTTAAGGGCAACAGCTATTTGGTGTAAGGTGTAAGAAAGTGATTCAATTTTTTAATGACTGGTTTGGCAGTATAGTGCATATGGCTGGCTCTCAGGCCAGATATAGGGATTCTATGTGTTTTTGTCTTCCAAGAGCATCTCCTCCTGCTGAAAAAGGCTTTTCCCCCCAGTTAAGCAATCCTATCCTATATAATCTGTCTATACTAATAAAAGGGTAATATGCTAATTAGACTGGGTCGACTGGCCATCTTCCAGACGTCTGACTTCCTTCTGGACAAAGCCATTGTGGTGGGGGCTGAGGCAGAGGAAGTTAGGGGTGATCAGGCCTGCAGGGGAGGTCAGTTAGGGGCGATCAGGCAGGCAGGCAGGCGAGTGGTTAGGAGCCAGTCATTCCAGATTGTGAGAGGAATGTCCAACTGCTGGTTTAGGCCCGATCCTAAACCTGCAGTCGGACATCCCCTGAGAGGTCCCAGATTGGAGAGGGTGCAGGCCAGGCTGGAGAACCCCCTCTGTGCACGAATTTCATGCACTGGGCCTCCAGTTTCCTTATTATCCTTTGTATTTTTGTGATGTCAGTTGTTACTTCACTGCTTTTGTTTCCGATTTTATTTATTTGGGCCCTCTCTCTTTGTTTTTTGATGAAAATGTCTAAAGGTTCATCAATCTCATTTTTCTTTTCAAAGAACCAGCTCTTAGTTTCATTGATTTTTTTGTAGTTTTTTCAGTCTTTGTCATTTATTTCTGCTCTGATCTTTATTATTTCTTCCCTTCTAGTCACTCTGGGTTTTTCTTTTTATCTTTCTAATTCTTTAAATTGTAGGGTTAAATAGTTTATTGTAAATTTTTTTGTTTTGTTTTTTATAAGTACCGCGCGCTAACCGATTGCGCCACTGTAGCTCCGTGTTTTGTTTTTTAAAGTAGGCCTGTAGTGCTATGAACTTTCCTCTCAGGACTGCTTTTGCTGTGTTCTAGAGATTTTGGGTAGTTGTATGTTCATTTTAATTTGTCTCCAGGAAGTTTTTTATGTCTTTCTTGATCTCATTGGTAACCCATTCATTGTTTAATAACATTCTATTTATCCTCCATGTGTTTTAATGTTTTGGGGTGTTTTTACTGTAGTTTATTTCTAATTTCATGCCATTGTGATCTGAGAAGATGCTTGATATGATTTCAATCTTCTTGAACTTGTAGAGTCTTGTTTTATGTGGTCTATCTTTAGACCTGTGTGCACTTGAAACAAACGTATATTCTGTAGTTTTGGGGTGAAATATTCTGTAAATGTCAATTAAATCCATCTGATCTAGTGTGTAATTTAGAGTCACCATTCAGAATCCTATTCCTTCTCAGCCTCTCCTTCCTCATCCTGCTTCCCACTCTCTCTCACAGGTTTCAGCTGAGGGAATTCCCTTCATTAACCCCTCATATAAGGAATTCCAGCTCTGGCTCTGCTTCTAAGGAACCTGGCAATTCACCACCTTAGAATATATTGTACATTTAATTCCAGGTTTGGTGATAACTTATCTTGCTTGAAGGCAAATAGATGCCTTTTACTTATTTATATTTTCTCTAATAGCAAGCATAGAGTTTTGCAAACAATAGGTTTTGTTAACTTCTAAGAATAAAGTAATTTGAACTAATGGCAACTACCAAACACTGTACTTTGGTAGCCTGATTAAAGAGGAAGATTAGTCCTTTTTTTATCAAGGGTTTTCATTGCCATTTTGTTCCTCCCTGGAATTGCTAGGTTGAAACTTCCTGTCAAATGTTATCAAGGCAGCCCACCCAAGACCTGGTGCTTTGTGTTACCTGACAGGTGATCTGCAGCAGAGCATAAAACTGTCAGCATTGTTCTTCTGCTGTGCTTTGAGAGTAACTCCAGGACAGCCATCCCCATCACAGAATCCAGCTCCGAGGGAAGAACCAGCCCCATTTTTGTCTGTGAGCAAGTCCCCTTCCTGAGGGGACCCAGGGATTTCTGCTGTGATTATTTAGCATATAAAGGTTCTCAGGAAATGAGTAACTCTCCCAAGTACTTCCTCTTACCTGTGGAAGTTACAGTCTTTCCCCTCCCTTGTAAACAGCAAGTACTTGATGATCAATCCTTGTACGGCCATCTGAATGCTTTGGGCACCTCCCTGCAAAGGGGAAGATGAATGGTAAGGCTGGGTGCAGGGCTTTACACTTCTCAGGACTGACGTTCCAAGGGAGAACTCATGCAAGTGAATGTCATGCTCTGTTCTTCTGTGCAGCCCTTCCCTCCTGGTGTACAGCATCCCCTAGACTGAGCAAGGGACATTGTACTACACTGACCTACCCTTCTCCATGGGCTGCTGCCAAGCTGGAATCGGCAGTGATCAACTTCTTTACGGAGCACTGGCACCTGGGGATATATGCCCTCTTCCACCCTGCCTCCATGGTGCCCCTGCTTCATATCAACTTGCACATTTGTAGGAGATAAAGAAATAGATGTCTAGCTCTTGAAATTCTGTGTGACTGGTGATCAATGACATGAATTATTGAGATTTTGAATAAGCCAGAGAGAAGTTGCCAGATCTCCTGCCTCTAAATCCTCAGGGATGCTTAGGACTTGGGTAAAGAGCCAGGAAAATTGGAATTACAAGGAGGGAGAGAGAAGAAAAAGAAGTCTGAGTCTTTGTTACAACCCAGACAGTAAGTTATAATTGTAAACAGTCTGTTATCATTTAAGGTCAATTTTTAAATTATTGATATGTTTCTACAAGTTATTGTAATGAAACATGTGTTACAGAAATGAGAATGAAAGGAAACATAGGTAAGGAATATGGAATTGGGGTTTTCAAAAATTGTCACCTGCTATTACCTTTCCCACTTCCAAAGCAAAAGCCAGGTCAGAAAAAGGATCATGGAACCTGAAACAAGCCTTTTTCCAATCACAGCTGAAGACATAGACCGTATTTCCAAAGAGGTTCTGCCGCAGCTTCTGAGAGGAGGGGATACAAACGGTGAGTTCAAAGGAAGAGAATTCTTCTGAGACACATTCCTCATCAATCTTAAGTAAGGCAGTGAAACCATGGAGGTGGCCTGTCCCCTTCCTACATTTAGAGCTATGCCTCTCTATTTTAATTGTAAAGTCCTGTGCAAAAGATTCATGTCAGGTTCACTGAGGACATTTTATCCTCAAAGCTCAGTGTGCCAACCCTAAACCTATATCATCCCTATTTGATGAAAGGGACCTTGTATCCTCTTTCATTGCTAGCCATCTCTCCTTTTATCACACACAGTACACTCCAGGCTGTGGCTCTGTCCTTGTGCTGCTGTCCCTATATTCATGACTTGCTCCAGAAAAAAAAAGAAGCCCAGCTGGTGTGGCTCAGTGGTTGGGCATAAACCTCTGAACCAGGAGGTCACAGTTCAATTCTAGGTCAGGTCACATGCGTGGTTTCTGGGCTCTATCCCCAGTAGGAGGTGCACAGGAGGCAGCAGATCAATGATTCTCTCTCATCATTTATGTTTCTATCTCTCCCTCTCCCTTCCTGTCTCTGAAATCAATTAAAAAATAAATAAATAAATAAAAAGAAGTAAACCTAAAGGAGGAAATATCTTGCTTTCTCTTTTTCTAAAGGAATATACAGGACTGTGTTTCTGGCCTGAGTACAATAGTGGTTTCAATGATATTAAACAAGCATTCTCTGTTCTCTTGCCCCAGAATCTTTAAGGTTTTCCAGAGTACTTAATAGTACATTGAGATTTGAAACCATCAAAATGGAAACAAGCCTTTATAAACCAAACACATGAAAAAAAGGGATCCATTCATAATCAGAGGTGTATTCATCATTTAGCATGTGCTAATCCTGTGTGGGCTATAGATATGTGAAAAGTCTAACATCCCACAACTATGTACAAGACAGAGGTGTGAAATTCCACAAATCAAGTGCAAAGTACCATGAACGAACAAAGGAAGGAGAGAGAACCTCTGACTGAAGTACTTGGGAAGGCTTTGGAAGAGGTGGCATTTCAACTAGGCTGGCAAATGACATCTAGCATTTATTGAGTATTTTTATGCACCAGGCACTGGGCTAAGTGCTTTATATTCACTATGTTAATTTAATTCTTTGAAGTAGGTACATTATTACCCCCCTTTTACAGAGAAGTATTTGCCAAAGGTCACCCAGCTAGTAGAAGCAGAGTTGGAATTTGTGCCCATTCTAACACCACTGGTTGCCTCCCCAGCTTTAATCCTGTATGTGCCATCTGTGACTGCCAACCAAGGAGAGGGAGCAGACGAGCACAGAGGCTGCTCTTAGAAGACACAGCCTTAGTGTATACCATGGCCAAAGAGGGCACCAGCCCAGGACATCCCCAGCAGAGGACTGAAAGTGACAGAAAGTGGTTCCCTGCCATCAAGGCTACATAGCACAGAGGAAAGGCTGATGAGTGCAGAGAAGTCCCAGTTATGCTCCTACTGACCATGTGAACTCGACAGGTTGCCCAGCCGCTGTAAGATTTATTTGCTTATCCCCAAATGGGGAGAACCCCTGCTTGATTAACATGGTTATCCTTGAAAGAGAAAAGGTAAGAAAAATGGCTTTGGGACCATAACTGCTGAGTAAACGGAGGGTGTTACTACCTTTGTGAAACAGCTTGTCTGCGCTGAAACATCTTATGCAGTAGGAAGAAAGTCCTAACACAGGGATAAAGACCGGAGACTGGCAGGAATGAGGGAGAAGCTGTGTGTGAATGCAGAGATTAAGACTGTTGAGACTAAAAAGGCTTAGAATACAAATTCAATTAGAAAAATTCTGCAAGTCAAACCATCCCATCTCCTGTTTCTGTTGCAGAGTGTCACCATCCAGATGTACCTGGGGAGGCCTAGGACAGAGGCCTGCAGGCCTCTCAGGCCAACCCCCACTGGTTAGAGTGACAGCAAAGGTGCTTCATCTTACTGTTTATTTTACATCAAATATAATTTACAACAAGATTAACCTGAGGCATGTTCAGTGACATACATATGTTGCTCTGCTGCCTGGTAACTAGACACAGTGGTAAGTGGTCTTAATAAATGACTGTAATGATCATTACTATTTAATACAGACAAGTACAGTTTATAGTTTTTCTCTTTTCACTTTGTTTTCTAGGATTTGTAATGGAAACCTCTTTCCTGTTTGCTGTGATGATGATAATGATGATGATCATTAACACACACACACACACATACACACACTCACCAGGTTTAAGTTCCTTATCCCAGCTGTTTGTCCCTTGTCACTGGGCTTAGAGTTTCCTTGGGACAACCTGGTCCCATCCAGTCCTCTTCTACCCCCCCACCCCCACCCAACATGAAGTAGAATAATTCTCTTTGAAACTCCATCCATAAATCTTTTCTTGTCTTAAAAATTACTGGCCCATCATGGAACAGAGATTGTCAGAATTAGTGCCTCTTAGCCTATCAGACTAGGCTCTTGGAGGGGTTGTGTTCACCATAGATTTGTCCACATTTGGAGTAGTGCCTGGTACAGAGTAGCTCACAATAAGCATTTGTTGAATAATTTTTTAAAAATCTAATTCAATCCTTTCATTTTACATGTAAAGATCTTGAGGCCCAGAGCAATTAATTGGGATGCCCAAGGTTACATAATTAGTAAATGGCAGTGCCAGGACCCAAATGCAATCCTTTCAACATATACCAGTCAGGGTCCCAGCAGGAAACAGTGGCTCTCTCAAGTCAGGATAATTAACTTGAGGAAAGTTTGATACAGGAACTATTTACAAAGATGTGGGATACTTACGGGGAAACCACAATGACTAATGGGGGGGTGGAGGGGGGAGTGGTTACCTGAACCAAGAAGGAGAGTCCAAGGGAGGGGACTGCATTGGAGGAGGGGGATCCAACCAGCTCTGCACAACCTGACTTCATTCCCTTCCCTCCCTCCAGTCTCCCTCCAGGGTTCCCATTGGATAAGCTGGACAGGAAGCCAGAGGAGGAGGGAGCACTACAGTCAGTCTCATAGGCAGAAAGCAGGATGGAGCAGGTTAAAGGGTGCATCTGAAGTGGCACAAGAATGATACCCACCATCTCATGCTGAGATGCCTCTCCAGGGGATCATCCAGGCAGTGAATTAATGAATTAAGTAAACATCTCCTGGGGCCCATCTGTCGGCCAGACTTTATGCTGGGGCCACCAGGCTGTGCTTCCTGTTCCCCCAAAGCCATCTCTTTGCCTGCTGCCCTCTATTCTCTATTACAGCTTCATCTATTACAGTCTCCCCAGAATATTTGCTCTCCCAGCATTACATGCGGTCCAGCCAGTGTAGTGTGATCCTGCTGGGTAGAGTTGCAAATACACCAAGGTTTGTTTATTGGCTGCCAATAAAAGAGGCTACAGGAGTGTGTTTCAGGATGGGTCCCGGAGAAGGGCCTGGTTGTGGAGGAGGATGGAAAATTGCCACTGGAGGGAAGGAAGGCAGTGGCGTGAGGCTGGTGGAAGAGCCCAGAGGCAGGTGCACCCCTTGTCCACGAGCTCAATGGGGCCAGCAGTCCTGACCAGAGTTCACTGCAGCACATCCACCTAAGATGTTAGATTGCGGGAGGAAGAAGGCTATACTATTGGAAATAGGGCCACAAAAATGTGAGAAACAGGAGAGCTGGGGAAAGCAAGGGTATGTAGGGCCCTTCACCTACCCCTACTTCCTGAGCAGATTCCCAGCAAAGAGTGTGTGCCAATGGCAGGAAATCCCACACATGCCTACTTCAAACAGAGGGGGAAGAAGACAGCAGAATGGTGACAAAATGCATGCTTCAGGGGATGTTAGGATTCAATAGCTCTGATAATTTGCCAGGCAGCTGCACTGCCAAAACTTGTAGAATTGGCCAAGCTTCCAAACGACCTCCTGGGACACATGTATTCAGAGCTCCAAGGTGTCATCTTCAAGTCCCAGGGAGTGTTTAATTAATGGGACCACAAGTTAAAGGACACCCTATTATCTGGCCCACATAATGGGAATAAGTCTTTTTTTTTTTTTTTGAAAGAAAAATCAATCATTTCTACTTCTGGGACTTCTTAATACTCTATCAATCCATTTCAGGCTATAGTAGTCCGATTCCTTTGTCTCCCTGTCTTTTCCAAAGGGAGAGAATTGCGATGGGAAAGTCATTGGGGAGGTGTCCAATTGCGTTGTGTTTGTGTTTGTGGAGAAAGGAGAGAATTCAGACCCAGACTCTTCTGCCTCCACTGAACAGAGGGAGACTGGAAGGCTCCGGAAGTATCTGTGAATGCTTTTTTCTATTTTTAAAGTTTGTATGTGTGTTTTAAAAATAGATTGTACATTCACATGGTTCAAAATCCAGAGTAAAAGAAGACCACCAAGAAAGACTCCCTCACACCCGTGCCTCTGGTCCCCGTGCTTCCATGGCTCCACGCTATGCACTCGTCTGGAATTTCTGCAGCATACACAGGCAAATACCAGTAGAGAATCATAGTTTTTCTCTTTTTCACACAAAAAGTAGCCTATTCCCAGATATATATAAATTTTAAAGTGACATTCTCCATAAGCATTTATTTCAATACTACATTTTTTTATTAGAGGGTGTTCATTAAAAGCATTATCTTGGCCAGTAAAATACAGCTAGTTGCTCTAACTTTTGTTCCTCTAGCATAGTGTGGCCGCGTAACCACGGAGGCTGGTTACACTCACAGTATGACCCATCACCTGTCTTCATTACCCAAAGGGGAGGATTCACTAGATAGATACCTAAGACACAAATGAAGGCACCACCCAGGGGCTGGGAGGCCAGCAAGCAAAGTGTAGCATCTTATGAGAGCCTTGCTGACCTATCTTCTGTGACGTCTGGCGTTCGGGTAGAAGAGGGAAGGTGGATTGAGGTGGAAAGACTTTTGATGAGAAGGAGCAAATAGGTCTCCATTACACTTGTACTGCACATGTGACAGTGGGGCCTGTGAGAACATGCACGATAAAAAGCAATGGGGTGAGGGAGGTGAGGGTGGGGCCAGAGTCCCTAAATCTGATGTTTCATCTGGGGAGCTTAAGGAAAGGCCATATTCAGAGCAGGAAACACTGTGGTCTGGCCAGCTCCACTTCTGTGCTCAAAAAGCAGGTACAGCCCTGGCTGGGTGGCTCAGTTGGTAGGAGCGTCATCCCATACACCAAAAGGTTATGGGATGATGCTTGGGGCACATAGGGGAGGCAACCAATCCAAGTTTCTCTCTCATATTGATGCCTCTCTCTCTCCTCTCTCTCTCTCTCTCTCTCTCTCTCTCTCTCTCTCTCTCTCTCTCCCTTCCTCTCTCTAAAATCAGTAAACATATGCCTGGGTGAGGATTTTTTAAAAAACAGGTGGAGACTGTGACTCCCCCTGAAGGGGTTCCAGGCCCCCTCAATAGCCCCCTCAGCAGGGGCCAAGGGTGGTGCCGGCCCATGGAGCTATGAGCACAGTGCACCTGTTGCTGCTGTGTGCTCAGGTGGCCAGGCTCGGCCCGGAGGTTTCTGCGCCCGTGCCCGGGTGTCGGACAGCCTGTGGTCAGGAGGGGATGCTTCTTCCCCCTCTTGCTCTTAGGGTCTGGGGAGAGGTCTGCCCAAGGCTCTAGAATACAGTGTGAGGTTGGGGGACGAGGTGAGTGTGGGGGCTACATTGGAGGGCCGTGCAGTTGGAGGGCTCTCTCACCCTAGCAGGGACTGTTTTCCTGGCTCCGACCTTGGCTGAGCTTCCCCAGTTTCCAATGTGGCTCTTTGACTACAACAGCTGTTTCTTTGGACACTTGCCAAAGCCCTGTCTCCAGCCCTGACCTGTTTAGTCCAGTGAGTTGCTGTTGGTCCTGCCTCCTAGCTGGGTCTCCATAGCCTTTTGCCCCCACCCTGGCCAAATTTTGAAATAAGCAAATGGTCCTTAGGACCCGAAGCTTCCAGATCTACTTGGATCCTCAAGTATCAGGTTCTTTTTCAAATCTGCCTATTAGTTGGCAGTCCCAGAAAATCTTTTTTTCCTGAGATCAGCTCTTGCCCAGGACTGGGTCTGGCACAGGTCCCCACCTCCCTTCCTCCTGCCCACACGCGGACAGGGTCCTGTCTCACCCCTCGACATTGTCTTGCGCGTTTGCAGCACTCCCCAGCCAACCTACCCTACCCTACCTTATATGGTGACTCATCTGACTTTACTCCCTCAAATTTAACTGTCAAGTCCAGGAAGCGAATAAAGAGAGACTCATAATTTGGGAGGAAAAGACTGTAACGTCAGCAGTGCCCTTGAAAAATACTATAAATAAGTCATTTTAATTATATCCTCCTTCTACCAATAACAACCGTCTGTAGTCTTATCTTCATAATGCTCTCACATGACAGCAGATAAGATTCTCCAGCCCTGTTGTTTGGGGAAGATTACGTTTCATTTCATGTTTAATTGACAAGCTGTACTCACCGTGGCCATTGCTAGGGAGATAGGAAAGCTGCTCGATTTTGAAGAGATGATAGAGGGCTTGGGAGTAGAACAAGGGCCACTTGATGGCAAGAGTCCTTGTCTTTTGGGCTGAGGTGTTCCTGATCCATCTTCACTCTTAGCAGCAGACACATGGCTGCCTTCATGATTCTGAGTAACATGCCACCACCAAAAACAAAGCAAACAGTGCTGTGATGACCTCTCCCCTTTTCTTTCTTTCTCTCTGAAATAATTTTTATCAGAAAATGTTGTCTCCCTTTTCAAGATGTTTGAAAATTGTGATACATAACAATGAAAGAGGCAGAAAAACGCCAGTGTCTGCGTCAAAGGGGCTTCTCCTAAGTTTGATGTGACTCGAGGAGGTTAAGTGCAACTATGGAAACATAATTAATGCTATCAAGACCTTGACTCGAAATTATGTTTAGAGAAGAATATAAATGTCAGTGTGTCTCGTTTTGAGAGGACACCATCTTATAAATAACGAGTAACTCTTTCAAGTCTATACAAGGTATTTTTTATTATATTGTTAACTGGCCAGTAAATGAAGTCAAGTTACCTCCCTTTACTTTTCTCAGATTCCTATTCCCCAATAAGTGAGTATAATTTTCTCCTTCCTTTTTTAAAAATACATTTTTATTGATTTCAGAGAGGAAGTGAGAGGGAGAGAGAGATAGAATGATGAGAGAGAATCATTGATCAGCTGCCTCCTGCACTACTAGGAATCAAGCCTGCAACCTGAGCTTGTGCCCTTGACTGGAATTGAATCCGGGGCCCTTCAGTCCACAGGCTGATGCTCTATCCACTGAGCCAAACCAGCTAGGACAAATTTTCTTCTTTAAAAAAAAATTCATGCCCCATCTTTAAGGCAAAAAATCTATTTTTATTTTTTGTGACTGATTTTATGGCATTTAAATATGTTAGCATCACCTCTTCTTCCAATTTACTTAACTTCTACACTAATGTTATGAAACAAATCTGCCCTATTGGTAGCTGAAGCATGAAAGAAACTGCTTTCTTAGTTTTTCTGGATTCCTAGAGGCAAAGATACTTTCTTATCTCAGAAATATAGCATCCAAGTCACAGGCTACTGATGGGATAAGATGCATTTTGTAAATCAAATGGAAAATCTTTACCTTTGTGCCAGGGGTTTCCACCACTGGCGTAAAGCATAACTTGGCATTTATTTATTTATTTTCTTTCAAAGATTATTTTATCATTTGAGCATTCTATTTCCCCAAATGTCAGCTATCTCCATTTAATACTTCCAGGACTAAAATACAATCACCATCTCCCTGATTCTCATTTAGACTACAGTTAAGAGAGTAGCACAAATAAGGCTTTTGATCACAGGTTAGTTGGGGCAAGATGCTTTAGTGTTGTGGTTAAAGTATTAATAATTCAATTGTTTGATCTTATCATATACTACTGAAAATCACCTTAATATTTTGTGCTGTGTTTATTCAATGATTGAATTAGTCTCTAAATACTAAGTCTATTACCTTCTAACCTTTTCAGGTGACATGAAATACACACATTTTTTATCTTACATTGTATAACAGATTTTAAAATACTTTCTTAACACCAGAATTCTGTCATCTTTCTCTCCTTTGAAAATGGTGAAGGAAAACAATTTCTCAGAAGTTGAATAAAGGTAAGTGTTTTCAAAACTGCTTTTCTTCAGGGACACTGAGCTCTTTGTTCTCAGAATACGGTGTCATTTCACAAGTGTGGGAACTCTAGATTCTAATATTACTTTTTTCTAAAATAATAACCATATGGTGCTTTAATGATGAAAAATAGCTCTTAAAAGTAGAAAGAGATCTGTATGAGAAAAGAAAGCACAAGAAAAGATATTCAGCAGGCTTTCTAGCTGTACGTTTTCACATGTTAAATGCTGGTGCCTGAGTGACATTATGTGCATAGAATAAGTGGGTTTTGCTGTTAACGTGGTTGTTTGAAGAAGCAACTAGAAGAAAACACATTGGCTTTGAGAAAAGTAATTACCTGAGGAGTTGTATTATTGGTTCCCAACCTAAAGATGAAAGAGAAACATCAAGAAAATTACTCACTCTTTTCTACCCTCACATGCAAACCTCCTCAACCCAGCCTTGCTGGGAAAGCCTTTTTCTGCAAATAGTTATACCTGAAGTGTTTTAAATGTAAATTGATAATGGAGACTTTTCATGGAGCAAGCATAAAAGCTGACTACTTAAACACCTAAAATCCCTTTGGTTCTATTTCTAGAAATAGAAAAATGAGAAAATGAGAGCATCTTACCTGTGATAACTAAAGATTTCCCTCCATTTGTCAAGAAATGAAATTTTCCTAGTTATCTCCTCCAAATCCAGCTCCTGGGAGCTTTGTTCCTGGTCCAGGAATGCCACAGCCATTTAGTTATATAATGTACAGAAATGGAAGAAGGAAGTAGTTAAGATGGGTGAGAGGTCTGGCAGTGGAGAGGTGTGGTGGCTGTCACAGGTGGCCAGGTGAGAACTGCTACCCCTACCTTTGACCAGCAAGGAGATCACACCACAGTTGCTGCCCTGGGCTCTCTGTGAGCCCCTGTTATCAGATCCTGATGAAACTTTCATTAGAGGTGGAATACTTTGTGTATTTTTGTTCACTGTATAGATGCCATGAATGTTTAATCCAAGACTCAGATTTATAAACAAAAGGATTGCAATTACTTATCTGTATCAAAGCAACTGGGATACTTTAATTGATGAGAGATGCATGCTGGTGGAATGTGATACTACCTAGTTCTGTAGTGCCTCTAGGAAATATTAGTGAACAGAAAATATGCAGCCAAAGAGGGTAAAAGCCACCCTGTTATAGCAAATAACTCTATCAACTACAGTTGTGTAATATGTAGGCCAAAGAAAACACAGGCCAACAGATATTTGATGTAGATTTTAGTACACAGAAATCTTGCACACAGTTTGTAGAAGAACTAGCTTGATTTGTTTAAGGGAGAAACAAATTGTAGTTGTAATAACAGAAATAATAAGGAAGATTGATGGTTGTGATAGTTAATTTTATGTGTCAACTTCCTAGGCTATGGTAACCGTTTTTGGCCAAACACCAGTCTAGTGTTACTGCAAAGGTATTTTTTACATGGTATTAACATTTAAATAGATTTTGAGTAAAGAGGATTATTCTGCATTATGTGGGTGAGCCTCATCCAATCAGTTGAAAGTCTTAAGAGAAAAGACTGGGGTCCCTAAAGGAAGAAGGAAGTCTATCTCCAAACAACTTTCTGACTGGAGCTGCAGCATCACCTCTTCCTTGGGTCTCCAGCCTGCCAGCCGGCCCTGTCAGTATATTTCAGAATTTCCAGCCTCACAATCATATGAGCCAATTTCTTAAAATAAATCTCTCTCTCTCTCCTATCTTATTGGATCTGCTTCTATGTAGCACCTTGAGTAATACAGTGGTGTTCATCAAAAACAAACTGGTGCCCTAGCCAGTTTGGCTGAGTGGATAGAGCATTGGCCTGTGGACTGAAGGGTTCCAGGTTCGATTCCGAAGGGCACATGCCTGGGTTTCAGACTCAATCCCCAGTAGGGGGCATGCAGGAGGCAGCCAATCAATAATTCTCATCATTGATGTTTCTCTCTCTCTCCCTTCCTCTCTGAAATCAATAAAAATATATTAAAAACAAAACAAACAAAAAAAATGGTTACCAGTAAGTATTCTTGTCTTTTCTGTCTTAGTTGAATACTAAAATTGAACCTCTTCAGCAGGAGGTCATCTTATACAATAAAGAGCTAATATGTTAATTAGACTGAACAGCTGAAGGACCTTCCAGACGACCTTCTGGATGAAGCCATGGTTGTGAGGGCCAACCAGGGCTGCTAGGGCCAAGCCCCTTGCACGAATTTCTTGCATCGGGCCTCTAGTTTTCTCTATAAACATTTTTGATCATGAGTTTTGTAAAATCCTGGGAATGCTAAGAGGTCAAAGAAAAGAGGTGCTTTGGATTTATTATGACTCAAGTGGTCAGGGCTGAGGGGACTGCTTATATATAACATTGTAAAAACCTTGAAACACAGCAAGTCACTACATAAACCAGAGATGAATTTAGGTGTCCACAGTTTTGCCTGGGTTTCCAGTTTTTTTACACCTTCAGTTTCTTAAGCTAATTTTTGGTGATTGTTTAAACACTTCACAGATCCCATAAGTTTCCACCAGATTTAGTATTTTTATTGTAAATATAGAGGGCATAAAAATTCTAAGTTTTCTCCTTTTTTAAAAAAAGCTTTATTTGTTGTCCTCTTTATAATTTTATAGTTTTAATGGTAGTATCAGCATTTAATACTTATTGCTCCCCACAGTATAAAAAATATAAGAACTTACTGGATTTTTGTTGTCAAATAATACCATGGTCAGAAATGTCTATGAATTTTCTATTCAGAAAGTCATATTAAAAATTAATTCTGGCCTGCTATTTAAATTATTTAACAACCCAAAGCTAAGAAAATTATTAAGAGTTATTATTAAATATGTGTATTTTGGGCTATGTCTGTGTCTAATTTACAGAATTCTGTGATGGCAGAAGTATAAATCTTAATGATTAGGCCACCTACCAATAAACCATTCTATTGTTTCAAAAAATAGATTTGGGGTTCAATAAACATATTTTGAGTATTTCCTGTGTGCCAGACACTTGGAGATGCCAAGGCAGGTAAGATGTGGTTCATGCTCTTCTAGTGGAAGAAACAGACACATGCAAAAAAGAAAGTGCTTCGTGGACAGTGGCTAGAGGACTGTGGGAGCTCAGGGGACAGGAAGAGAGAGAGAGAGAGAGAGAGAGAGAGAGAGAGAGAGAGAGAGAGAGAGGAAGAGAGAGAGAGAGAAGAGCATGGCTTCTGGGTCCAAACTCTTAGTTTTGAATCATGGTTTCACCTCCTACTAGCTTTATGGCCTTGGACAAATTATTTAATCTCTCTATGCCTCAGTTTATTCATCTGTGAAATGGGCATAATTTCTTACCTTTACTATATTGAGACTTCTTCTAATCTATGAAAATGGCATATCACTTATTTAGACCTTTTTTATCTTCCCCTTGTTTAATTCCCAGAAATGGGATGCCTGAATCAAATATAGTAATTTTAAAGACTTTGCTACATATTGTCAAATTTCATCATTGTTCTTGAGCATTCCTTGCTAAGCCCCTTTTATTCCTTTTATTCCCGACTTAGAATTCATGGTCCCACCCCTTTCAATAAAGAAAATGCTGACTTTACTTCCCTACCTTTCTCTCTCTTCTCAGTTAGATGTTGATAAGGGCTCTACAGATGGAAGGGCTGGTCTCTGGAATACACCAACATTTAAGCACATCAGAGGAAACCACCATTTTCTTGGGCATTTTGTCCAAAGACTTAGAGTAGGAGTCCGGGCTGTAAGAAGTGGGGTGGAAAGAAAAAATGGGATTTGGGGGTACTGATCCAGATCTGGAGGAATAAATAGGGCAGGGAGGGATACAGAAATATGTCAAATCTGGAATTGCCCCTTCAATATTCATAATGCCTTGCCTCCACCACATGACATATGAAATCACCGAAAACTTCTGTCCTAAAACTGCCCCTGACACATCAAAGGCTTGGGGTAGCAATAGGCCTGCAGGGGCAAAGGGAAAGAGCAAGGACAAAGCAGGGGCCATGGGGAGGAGGGGAGTTTTGCAGCCATGTGGTTGGTTGGGGGGGTGGGGGACAGTAGAGACTGTTCCCTATAAAGGAAATGCACTGAGTAAGTGCAGGAATCTGTGCCTTAACCCATCTGCTTTCTTTGCTGATATTTTGAAAAAAATAATAGCTCTGATTTCATGAGAAAAGCTAGTATTTATTCCAAACTTGGAAATTGGTATGTAAAAATTTAATGTTATTAACATTTTCTGTAGTTTCCCAGAAAGCTATGACTGATCTTTATAATCATTTACTCAATTTAGTCTTAAACTGAGATTTGAAAAACGTTGGGCTTGCCAGCATTTTTGACTAGCTTGCAAAATTATCCCCAACCCTTTTCCTTGTTGTTTTCATATGATGCTTCATAAACAGAAATTGGAAGCAGAATTTTAGAGCCATTGATTTTTTAAAAAAACAACAAAATCTCATTAGTGTTTAATTAACCTTACCCCTGAAAAACTCTTCCTTAGGATTAAGTTAAATCCTTTATGCTTTAATTATCATTCATTTTCTTTACTTCTACTTTTTGTGGAGATGAAAATTTCCTGATTATATTCCTTCCAAAAAGATTTCTGCCAATCCACTGGAAACTGGAAGATGGCTGATATATTCTCCTTTTGCTCTTTGGTGTCGGGGAGAAAGAGGGTGTCAGGCCCAGGATTAAATCCCAGGGCCTCCTCCTGACTGTGTAACCTTGGAGAAGTTATTTAGTCTCTCTGAGCTTCATTTTTCATATTTTCTTTTACTTACCTCAGAGAACCAAAATGAGTATTATTTATGTGAAAACTACTAACCTTTAACCAATGTTTTCTTGCCTTTTATATGTTAAAAATGCTCTTTTATAAGTTTTATTTTTCCTGCCTTTATATATGTTAGGGGTTGCAGCCTGGGCCAGAGATAGAGCTAAAAGTCAAAAGTCCTAAAGTGATATTACTGGGGCATCGGTCCTAACTCAATCCCCTAGTTACTGGCTTCTGTTGGTCACTTAGCCACTGGTGTGAGTCCCAGTCCTCGTCTGAAAGGCCTAAAGACCAGTGTGGTCTGATGGAAAATATATATTTGGTTATTGTCCCCAGTGCCTGGCATAGAACTCCTAAAATCCTTAGAATTTCCCGAGTTGCAAGGATGATAGGATTGTCTTTTGTTCTAATGCAGTGTGGCTGGGCCCTCGATGACTTCAAAATGAGAGCTGGTCACCAGAAAGACCATGTCTTGATGAGAAGCCTGACATTTTCAGCCCCAGACCCCAATCTCTAGGGAGGAGAGACAGGTTAGAGGTTGAGTTCATCTCTAATGGCTGATGATTTAATCAATCATGACTATGTAGTGAAACCTACATAAGGACCCTAAACAATGGGATTTGGGGAGCTTCCAAGTTTGTAAACACATCCATGTGCTGAGAGGCATACCCCAACTCCACTGGGTCCAGGGTTGTATGCTCTGGACCTCATGCTCCCTGTATCCTTCTTCATCGGGCTGTTTATTTGTATCATTTATCACAAGGATATGCATAAGCAAAGTGGCTTCCTGAGTCCTGTAAGCCATTCTAGCAAATTACTGACCTTGAGGAGGGGGTTGTGGGAACCCACAGCTTATGGATGGTTGGTCAGAAGTACAGATGACTTGATGCTTGCTACTAAAGTGACAGCAGTCTTGCAGGACCAAGCCCTTAAACCTGTGGGGCCTAACTTCAGGTAGTTAAGAAA